TCTGTGATCCTGTGATTTTTTTGTCTGCCCTTCAGTTTATTATTCAATCATTGTGGTCATGAATCAGAGGAAAAATGCCCTTAAAAATTTGTCTTGTTTTTTTCTAGGTGTAAATGTTACAGATCATGACTCTACATTTAGAAGTCTCTCAGATGTCCTTCAGAATAACATCACTCCTTATGTGACCTTGCTGGAAGCCAAAGATTGCCCAGGTAAACACTGGAATAGTTTTACTGCTTCATTTGAATCAGGTATCAAATCACTAGAATTTCTGCCTTTTGCCCCCAAATATAAATGTGTATGAGAGCAATTAGAAATGTGAAAAGTAATGACTAATAACTTGGAGTCATTTTTTTAGAGCATGAATTGGTGCCACATAACCAAATGTCCTTACTGTGTGTCTAAAACTCTTTTGTGAAGGCATAAAAAACCTGATGCAGAAGCTGATGGGGCAACTAATGAACTGCCATGTGGATGGGGACTCAGAAGATGAGGACCATGTGCAGGTTGCCCAGAAAAGGACACGTTGTTCAATGTCTTCTCTTGTCAACTGGTACAAGAGTGTAACCAAGGTATGTGGTTGGGTTTTTCCATCACCAGCTTATGAAAAGGCCTGGTTTAAAACAGATATTTAATAACTCAGATTTCTATGAGAAAATGCTAAAAATTACCTTTTAATGCTAAGAAATCAGTGAGATTAAGGTGATTTGAATATGATGTGTAACAAATATAACAGATGTGGAGTTAGTTAATGATGAAGTATGAGGGTCAGAGATCTGAAACAAAAATAAAAATCACTATTGGCACACTGTTGTGTGCCAAGGGCAGCACCAGCTCTGAGCCTCACTGACCCTCCTGCAGTGTCCTCAGCCACTGATCCAGTCACTCCAGGTCTCTCTGCAGAGCTTTCCTACCCTCAGGCAGATCCACACTCACACCCAGCTCAGTGTCTCTGCACATTCACTGAGGGTCACTCAATCCCCACGTCCAGATCATCACTAAAGGTGTTAAACAGGACCTGCCCCAGCACTGAGCCCTGGGGAACATCACTGGTGACAGCCCCAGGTGGATTTGGCTCCATCCACCACAGCTCTCTGGGCCATCAGCCAGTTTTAACCCATGGAAGAGTCCACCCAGCCAAGCCACGAGCAGCCAGTTTTCCTGCCAGTTCTTTGGCAACTAGAAGCTTAAAATGCAGCAACAACTTCATGCCAGATGCTTTTCTCCCAGGAATGCTGAGCTGGTTTGTGTATTAAAAGAGGACTTGAAGAGGGAACAGCAATGCAGGGCAAAGGTGCTAGTGCTCATGAGCCATGAAGTCATCTCAGCCCACACTGCCTTCACAGGCAGGAGAAAATGACAGTCAAAACCTTTTGGTATCTCTGCATTTGCTAAAGCTGGTGAAGGTTTATGCTTTGGTTCTGTCATGAGTGCTAGTTAGAACTGATTCTCTGCTGACTTCATCAGAGCAGTGTGTTAAGCAGAAGGAGAATGAGTACATGGCTCTTCTCATTGCTGGGTGTAAAGGCAGAGGAAATAATCAATGTCTGTGGACACAACTCAAATCTTCCTCCTCAGTCCCAACAGAACTTCACCAGTTCTGCCCTGTGGAGCTATTCCTGTCTTTATTGGAATGAGTTTTAAATCTGTTTATCCTTTGTGCTTCATGCTGTGCCAAACAGAAGGAAGGAAAAATAGCAATTCCAGATGCTAATAATAACTGGAACTGACAAAAAGTCAGGCATGTCACTTTGTAGTGCTGTAACTCTGTAGATGTGATTCAGTCTGTTCACTTTTACTGCCTTCCCTTTATTCATGTTGAACAAAAGGCTCCAAAGAAAACATATCCTGAAACTCCAATCAAGAGAAAATCTTCCTCTCCCACACACTGGGATTCTCCTCCAGTTGTAGTCATACTTAAAGACATGGAAAGTTTTACTGCAAAAGTACTTCAGGACTTCATAGTCATCAGCAGGTACTGGGACTTGGGAGTTTGGTTCTTCCACTCCTTTACCCATTTGCTGTTTACTTGGAAACCTAACAGTGAGGCCAGTGGAGAGTTGGGATCAAATGTTGGTGCTGCTTCTTCACAGCAGTGCCTGAGTAAAGAGAGATTTGCTAGGTTTTGGGGGATGAATTATCCTGAAGCTAACTGGGGACTCTGACCCAGAGGTTGAGGTATTGGGTGGCTGGTTTAGCTCTTTATGTAGGAGGATTTATTGGTCCTTGTTAGAGAATTTCTGATTGTGAAACTGTGTTTTTCAGATTGTAGAATGATAGAATTTTAGGGGTTGGAATGGACAGCCAGGTTGGCTGAGCCTTGAGCAACCTGCTCTGGTGGGAGGTGTCCCTGCCCAGGGCAGGGCTTGGGGCTGGGTCAGCTCTGAGCTCCATCCCAACCCTTACAATTCTGTGATCTCATTTATGCTCATCAAAAACTCATGCTGTTCTCCAAGCAGAGCATTTTAGACCTGGTCCCCATGTTGGAACTGCAGTTAGCCCAGAACTGAGGCTGCAGTTGTACAATGATTTCAGCTGCAGCTTGTGCACCTGACATTGCCTCTAAGCAAGGCCTAGGCAGATTGACTTGCTGAGGGAACAGCAACACAAAGTAGTTTTTTGCTTTATGTCTGGCAGGTGGATTCTCTAGGGAAAATTTCTGACAAGTAAAATAAAAAATGCACAATTATCTGGAAATAGTTGGGGTGTAAGGCAGTGAAAAATTAGGTTTTAACTGATTTTTAAGGGTTGTAATTCCTGTTGCTCGTTGTGGTAAGGCTAAATACCTAATTTTGAGTGTGTGGAATGCAGCTGAAGTGCAGTTGAAGCCTGTCAGTCTCCTAGGTGCAAGTTCACTTTGTGTCCCTTCAGAAGAAAGGTTTGGGGGGTTCAGATGATCTTATAACTCAGGACTATGTTGATTACAGCAAAAAATGGATAAAATACAGTTCATTTTTGGGGAAGTTCATTTCTTTGAGAAAGATCTCTGGGATAATTGTCAAGGTTGTGTTTATTCTCTCCATTTCAGCATTAAACATGTTCATCACTAAAGGTGAAGGGGGTGAATTTGAGAGGTTCTGCTTTGTTAGTCACAAGCTTAAGTCCATCCTGATCTTCAAGGTTATGAGCAGTGGATAGTAATAGGTGAACTGTATATACACCTGAAACGATGTTTTGGTGCCACTTCCTGAAATTGGAGTCCTAAAATAGAAGTTAATTTGCTTATCTGCTGTAGAGCTTTAAATAGTTTCCTTTCTTTCCTGTTCTACTCCACACCAAAACTCTTCTGATTTACTGGCAACAAAGCTTTTAGTTTGCCCCTTTCTGCTTCTGAGCTCAGTGCTGTAGTAGGAACATAATGGATTTGTGTCATGAGTTTCTATGTTGTAACTATGTCTTTTTTTCTCCCTTGCCCCATTATCTAGTGAACACATCCATGAGTTACCTCTGGCTCTGATTCTTGGAATTGCTACCACACCAATGATTATCCACAGGTTACTTCCTCACTCTGTGTCTTCCCTGCTGTGCATAGAGCTCTTCCAGTCCCTTTCCTGCAAGGAGCACCTGTCCACTATCATTGACAAGGTAATTCCCTTCCTAAAGACAATCACAGAACCATCAGGGTTGGAGAGACCTCTAAGGTCATTGAGTCCAACCATGGAACCCCCAAACCCTAACCCAGATCCTCCAGTGCCACATCAGACACCTCAGGGATGAGCAAAGGCTGAGGGAGTTGGGGCTGTTCAGCCTCCAGAAGAGACAACTCAGAGGGACCTCAGGAATGGATTCAAGTCCATGAACAGGAGGTGCCAAGAGGATGATCAGACTCTGCTCAGTGGGGAAACCAATCAAACAAGAGGGAACAGCACAAACTGATGCCCAGGAAGTTCCACCTGAACAGGAGGAAGAACTTCTTTGCTGTGCAGTCCCTGAGCACTGAACAGATTGCCCAGAGAGGTCGTGGATTCTCCTCCCTGCAGATATTCCAGACCCCTCTGGACACAGCCCTGAGCCATGAGCTCTGGGGTGGCCCTGCTGGAGTAGGAGGTGGGACCAGTGACCCACTGTGGTCCCTTCCAACCTCACTGATTCTGGGATTCTGTAAAATAATAACCTGAAAATCTTTCTTGGCATGGAACTTTTAGTAGATACATTGAGTTTAGAAGTTGGCAGTGTATTTAGTGGCTCATTTTGTGGAATGCTAACACATACTGAGAGTTGTGTCAAATTGTGTCTGTAAGTTTTGCTGATTTGAGTTCAGGAGAAAATTTCTGCTGTGGCTACATTTTTTTTTTTTCTCCCTTTCAGCTGGTTCTGACAGCTCAGTTTCCCTTCAAACTGGGTGTGAAGGTTCTGCAGGTTCTCCTCAATATATTCTTGTACCATGATTTTTCTGTCCAGAATTTCATCAAAGGATTTCAGGTAGGCAGTGGCAACAAGAAATCAAATTGTGGTTGTACAAACCAGTGGTAATTACTGGGCACTGAAAGGTTTCTTAGCTCCTCATGTCTTCTGTCACTGAGTTGTATGAGAAAATGTCCTTTGCAGACAGTTTGGATCTGTGAACAGGTGAGTGTTTTAAAACCTCAACTCCTAAGGGTTTAAGAGAGAACTGTAGGACATGTATGAAGACGCATGTAAAAGCTTCCTCTGCCATGAGAAAGGGTATTTAAAGGTTATATTTAAAGGGATTACCTGCCCTAGTGCATAGACAGAGCTATTTTACTATAGATTTACTTGTAGCTTTCTAACACAGAACTCTTCACACTCTGCTGAGCCAGGACAAGGTGCCCTTGGCCTCCTTGGCCACCTGTGCACACTGTTGGCTCCCACTGAGCTGTGCCACCAGCACTGCCAAGGCCCTTTGGGACCAACACCTCTGTCCCCACTGCTCCCCCAGCCTGGAGCTGCATGGGCTGTTGTGTGCCAAGGGCAGCACCAGCTCTGAGCCTCACTGACCCTCCTGCAGTGTCCTCAGCCACTGATCCAGTCACTCCAGGTCTCTCTGCAGAGCTTTCCTACCCTCAGGCAGATCCACACTCACACCCAATTTGGTGTCTGCAAATTCAGTGTCCTGTTAGTCTCCTGGGTGTAACTTGGTTTTGTTTGGATTTTGAGGACAGATGTGCTGAGCAGATGCTCCTGGTGCTGCAAACACTTAGAGCAGCTGAAATCAATGAGAAATTGCTTTTGTAGGTGTGCACAGCCAGAGCTTAGGTGAGAAGTTTGCTTGTGTACAGGAGTTGCTCTTCACATCTCTCAATACATTCTTTGCTATTTGTGAGCTGAAGATGGGACCTAAAGATGCAGTAATCAACATAGGTGAAGATATTTGACAAGCTCTAGTTGGCATTACAGGGAAGGGGAAAGGTGAGGTACTGAAAATGAGCAAAGAAGGTAATTAGGTGACTCTTTCAAACTGTATAATCAGTGTCCTGTAGTGACTTATGGAATATTTATGAATTGCAATGGATTTTTCTTGAAGGAGCATCATTACTGCCACTGTACATGTGCAGTGGTAGGATTAATAAGGGACCATGAGAAGGGAAGCACAGCAGGGAGGTGAATGCCATTGACATCCTGAGCTCTTGCTTTGTGTTTCAGCTCTGCATTGTGGAACACTTCCATTCCCAGCCCCTCAGTGTGCTGTGTTGTCCCCTGGCAGATGCCAAGAGCAGAGTCAGTGATTTGTCTCACGAGCAGTGTGAGGACATTCGCAGACTGACCTCTTTTAGAAGGTAAAAGGGGAAATTGGTGTTTGGGACAGTCCTAGCTTGAGTTAGCTTTAAAACAGATAAGGATCTGAAAATGCACCTCTGAAAACTTGTAGCTCCTTTGGGCACATTTCTGTGGCAAAGGTAAATTGATAAAACAGGGACAGTTCTACATCTAGAATCACAGAACCATCAGGGCTGGAGGAGACCTCTAGGATCATTGAGTCCAACCATGAACCTGTCCCTGCTGGAACCCCCAAACCCTAACCCAGATCCTCCAGTGCCACATCAGACACCTCTGAAACACCTCCAGGGATGGTGACTGCACCACCTCCCTGGGCAATATCCCAGGGCCTCAACACCACAGCAGGGAAAACATTTCTCCTCACACCCAATCTGACTCTGCCCTGGCTCAGCCTGGAGCTGCTTGGGCTGCTCTGAGCCTCACTGACCTCCTGCAGTGTCCTCAGCCACTGATCCAGTCACTCCAGGTCTCTCTGCAGAGCTTTCCTACCCTCAGGCAGATCCACACTCACACCCAGCTCAGTGTGTCTGTGATTTCACTGAGATTCACTCAATCCCCATGTCCAGATCATCACTAAAGATGTCAAACAGGACCAGCTCCAACACTGAGCCCTGGGGAGCATCACTAGTGACAGCCTCACTTGGATTTAGCTCTATTCACCACAATTCTCTCACCCATCAGCCAGTTTTAACCCATGGAAGAGTCCACCCAGCCAAGCCACGAGCAGCCAGTTTTCCTGCCAGTGGGAGACAGTGTCCCATGCCTTGCTGAGATCAGACACACAGCCCCAGCCTTCCCCTCAGCCACTCAGCAGGTCACTTGGTCACAGGAGATCAGGTTGGCCAAGCAGGACCTTTAAGCACTCTGAGGAAGCCTCAATCTCCCAGTGTGGCCAGTTCAGCTCCTGTGCTGTGTAATCACTTGGATTGCTTTTCCTCTTGCTCTGAACACAGGAACAAGCTGTTATGACAAATAACCAGAAACCACTTTTGAACTTGTTAAGCTGATTTGGAGCATAATCTTTAGGGTTTTGGAGTGGCCTAGCAACTTGCTGGATTTGACTGCTTTCTTTGAGTCTTTCCAAGGAAATCCTTCCAGCAGCATAAGCTCTCTGGAATTTTGAACCCTATAGTCTTTCTTTACTTTGTGCTCCTTATGTTTGCTGTTTTTTCCCCCCTTGCCATGAGGTATGTGGAAGGACAGGAGTCAAAGAAGCAGATTGCACTGCTGACCTCAGACAGCTGCTTAAAGGTAAGACTTCAGCAATGTCTTTGGAGCACAAAAACAACTTCCCCAATATATTACATTGTGGATCTTAATAAAATACAATATAGTTCTACATAATATCTTCCATACAGAACATACTGAGCTTCATGGCCAGTAGTGAGGCTCCACACTCCCACCCAACTTAGTGTCCTCTGCAGATTTACTGCAGTAAATTTAATCTGCAGTTTCATTCTGAGCTTTGGAAATGCTTTCAGCATCACTTCGTTACTCCTTCATATAAATTTGCTGTTCATGTTTCAGGACCAGGTTATCCTGCTCCTCAAGCTTAGTCCCTGAACCTGCCATAGCCTTTGTCAGCTGTGATTTAATATTCCATGTGGTTACCATGCTTTTTAAGAACTGTGGGACAAGTTCCACCCATTCAAAATCATCTGTTTTGAAAGCAACTTTACACTCCAGTTACTGACAACTCTGTCTTAAAAGTTCCCATGGCAAATTTCCTTTGGAATTTTCTGTATGTGGCAATATATTATCTATACTTAGGGAAATAACAACATACAGTCTAATAATGTTTTCAAACCCTCCTAAAACAGAATATCCCTTTTCACTTCATTATCTGGTAAAATACATTGCTGTGTGTGTCTATTGGCTCCATCAGTCAGGAGCTAGGGAGAAGCTGAGGGAACTACAGATCTCATCCCCCTAAAACATAGTGCTCTGTGTTTGGGGGATGAGATTGATGCAGCAGCATTAATCCTAATCCCAATCCATAATCCTAATCCCTAATCCCAGTCTCTAATCCCAATCTTAATCCTAATCCCAATTCCTAATCATAATCCTAATCCCAATCCTAATCCCAAAGCCCTACTCCCTATCCTACTCCCTAATACTAATCCAATCCCTAATCCTAATCACAATCCTAATCCCAATCTTAATCCCCAATCCCAATCTTAATCCTAATCCCAATCCCTAATCTCAATCCTAATCCCTAATCCCAATCCTAATCCCTAATCCCAATGCCTAATTTCCTTAAAATCCCTTTAAAAATTCCCTTAAAATCCCTTTAAAAATTCCCTTAAAATCCCTTTAAAAATTCCCTTAAAATCCCTTTAAAAATTCCCTTAAAATCCCTTTAAAAATTCCCTTAAAATCCCTTTAAAAATTCCCTTAAAATCCCTTTAAAAATTCCCTTAAAATCCCTTTAAAAATTCCCTTAAAATCCCTTTAAAAATTCCCTTAAAATCCCTTTAAAAATTCCCTTAAAATCCCTTTAAAAATTCCCTTAAAATCCCTTTAAAAATTCCCTTAAAATCCCTTTAAAAATTCCCTTAAAATCCCTTTAAAAATTCCCTTAAAATCCCTTTAAAAATTCCCTTAAAATCCCTTTAAAAATTCCCTTAAAATCCCTTTAAAAATTCCCTTAAAATCCCTTTAAAAATTCCCTTAAAATCCCTTTAAAAATTCCCTTAAAATCCCTTTAAAAATTCCCTTAAAATCCCTTTAAAAATTCCCTTAAAATCCCTTTAAAAATTCCCTTAAAATCCCTTTAAAAATTCCCTTAAAATCCCTTTAAAAATTCCCTTAAAATCCCTTTAAAAATTCCCTTAAAATCCCTTTAAAAATTCCCTTAAAATCCCTTTAAAAATTCCCTTAAAATCCCTTTAAAAATTCCCTTAAAATCCCTTTAAAAATTCCCTTAAAATCCCTTTAAAAATTCCCTTAAAATCCCTTTAAAAATTCCCTTAAAATCCCTTTAAAAATTCCCTTAAAATCCCTTTAAAAATTCCCTTAAAATCCCTTTAAAAATTCCCTTAAAATCCCTTTAAAAATTCCCTTAAAATCCCTTTAAAAATTCCCTTTAAAATTCCCTTAAAATCCTTGTTTTCTTTAACCTTTCTTTGTGGTGGGGATAATTTTTCTTTACTGAGCCTGCTCAGAATTAAAACACAAACTCGTGTCTACCCTAAGGTCTTGGAGGTGATAATGAGCTGCATCTCTCATTACTGAATATGCAGGAGCAGCATCAGTAATCTCTTTTCCTCATACCTGTTTTTTTTCCTGCAATTCCCAATGAGTGAACAAAGTCAAACTGACACAAAGGAGCAGCAACTGAACACGATTTTCTGTGAACTGCTCTTTTGATGTGTACCTAACTAATAAAACCAGGGCACAGGATCAGGAAGAAAAAAGCATTTGTAATGTAAAGATGCAAATAATCAAGTCAGAGGATCTCGATAATTTCTCATTGCCTGTTAAAGGGATGGTGTATAGTCTGGTTCTTGTGAGATGAGAAACCAAACCTAGAGGCTAAAAATACAGCTGAAAATGGTAAAATGGTGATGGTAATCACCTCTAGTGAGCTGGGGGGAGGAAGGAGAGCTAACAACATGCAATGTGGCTGCAGGGAACTGCTCAGATACAGCTCTGACTGCACAAAGGCCTTGGTTTCACACTGGGGGCTGAAATCACAGCACACCAGAGTGTCCAAACTTGAGAGCCATTTTAAATGCTTTGTGGGAGTTCTGAGTGATCTCAGAGTGACTTACAAGGAATGACTCTGTCACTGCAGGAGGAAGCACAGAAGTTGCTGGAGGACCTGCACGTGTACCATGAACATTATGTTTCTGTCCTGAGGTGTCTTCATGTTTTCACATCTTCTCTTCCAAAGTATCCTCTGGGCAAGCAGGTGATGTACTGATGTATATACAGCACCAAGTGTGTGGGGCAGTCCCAGCTGGAGGGAAGGGATGGGACATCCAGAGGGACCTGGACAGGCTGGAGAGGTGGAACAATGCAAACCTGATGGAGCTCAACCAAATGCAGTGCAAGGTGCTACATCTGCTCTGGTGGGAGGTGTCCCTGCCCAGGGCAGGGCTTGGGGCTGGGTCAGCTCTCAGCTCCATTCCAACCCCTAAAATTTAATGATTCTATATGGGCTTTGTTGAGGTTTTTCTTGGGTGTGTTGTGCTCAAACTCTGACATCTTATGGAGTGTTTCTTCTTTCTCTTTGTTGACTGACGTGCTCCTTTGCCCCTGTTTCCTGCAATGCAGAGATGTTTTCTTGCTGTGTGCTGGGGGCATGGCTGGTACCTTGTCAGGCAGCAGGAGGAGTTTCCAGGAGGAGGCAGATGCACAGAACCCACACATTGCCTTCCCCACTCCTGGGATTACCTGTGTGCACTGCAGACTCTGTGTGCTCTTCTGCCTCCTCTTAGATCACTGCTCAAGTTCAGATGAAGAGACTGAGTTTTTAGCAACTATCTCTACAAAGTAAAGGATGATTGGAACAGTGATAATTGATCTTAATAGCTCTGTTGCTCTGATGTCATTTAACCCACCTTCTCATGCTCAGCAAATTCTCCTTCCAGGAGAAGAGCAGTACATTCTGTGCATGTGCATCTACCTCTCAGTTCCTGGTGTGTCCCATACTGTTACTTGGATCTGTCACTCGCCACAAAAGCAGCATGAGGTGTCCCAGTATTTGAGGATAAAAGGATGTTTTAGCTGGGGCATTGGCTTGGAGTTCTTTGTTCTCTGCTGTCATCATCATCTGAGTGTGAGGTGTTTGAAATCTGGTGCAGAGAGCACAGAGTCTGCAGCAACACTAGAAGCTTAGTTGTGGAGGATCTTAGATGGTCTGATTTCTTTTTTAATCATTCTGCATCTTTGGGAAACAAGCTCCAAAGGAACTGCCTCTTGCTCTGGACAGCTTGCTGTAAGTGTTCCTCATTACTCTGTAAAACACTTTGTCCTTTCTTCACCTTCTGCCCCACAGATCAGGGAGCTGCACTGTGCATGTCTGGAGAGCCAAGTGTGGGAGACAGAGGAATATGAGTCAGCTCTGCAGCTGGCAAGGTGAGTTTCTCTCCCTTTTTAATACCCCTGCACACATGGAGAATATCAGTCATCCCTTCCCCTGGAACTGAAGGCTGAGGAGACTCTGTGTTCACAGCTGGTTTTAGCATTGTTTGCCAGTGTGATTGCTCTTTTCATTTTGCTTTTCTACCTGTTGCTGTGGAATTCAGCAGGTTCTAATATCTCCTGTGCTGGAACCACTGAAGTTCTTTGTGTGAATGAGAACAGGAGTTGGGTTTTGTCTGTTAGAGTGTGATTGTGTTAGATATTAGCAATCAAATTATTAGTTTTAATTGGCTTAAATTGTAATCTGTTGTAAAAATTTGGATTGGTTCCAAATGGTCTGTCCTGCCAGGGCTGAGGGAGAGGAGAGAGGGAATGGCCTTGAGCTGAGCCAGGGCAGAGTCAGATTGGATGTGAGGAGAAATGTTTTCCCTGTTGTGGTGTTGAGGCCCTGGGATATTGCCCAGGGAGGTGGTGCAGTCACCATCCCTGGAGGTGTTTCAGAGGTGTCTGATGTGGCACTGCAGGATCTGGGTTAGGGTTTGGGGGTTCCAGCAGGGACAGGTTCATGGTTGGACTCTCTAACCTCAGAGATCTCCTCCAGCCTTGATGGTTCTATAAACTACAAGACTGAAGGCTTGAAATCTTGGAGGCTCTTTCCTTTCCAAGGGAGTTTTTCCAATTATTTGTTAACTTTTTTGCAGCCAAGAGCACTGAAAGCTGTTTCATCATCCTGTGTTTCAACCTCAGCCAACAATTGTGTCTTGTAGGATGTTGAATAAGGCTGATTTGGTAACCATGCTTGAACAGTGTGTGGAAATCTTGGTGTCATCGTCTGGGAAGGAATTTGAGAAGACAGTAGAGAAGCTGAAGGAGTTCCTGACCCAGTTTCAGGACCAGGAAGGTGGGTGTGTGCCATCAGACATTCCACTGCTGATTGCATGAAAGCTGTTGTATCCTCTGGGTTTCAGTTTCCCTGAGATATCCTCTCACTGTGTCAAACCATCAGATTCTCAGGAGTGTTTTCTGTAAAGACATGCACAAGGTCAGGAAGTGTTTGTCCTTCACTGCTCTGTGGTTGATGCTTTCTGTAACACGGAAGAGTGATGCAAGATAAGAACTTGGGCAGATCAGCAAACATTACTCACTGAACCTCTCACACTTGAACACTGCCAGGGCTGGGGCAGCCACAGCCTCCCTGGGCACCCTGGGACAGGGTCTCACCACCACAACAGGCAAAACTTCTGCCTAAGATCAAACCTCAATTTCCCTCCTTCAATTTGTGCCCATTGTCCCTTGTGCCCCTGATTTGATTATCACTCCTCCTGGCACCGATTGTTGCTTTGGGAGTTTTTGCTTCTTAGCTTTTACCTAAAAATGGCTAATAATTGGTTCAGTTGATCAACAAACTCCATCAGTGCTATAGGTGAAGAAAAGGATAAAACTGGACACCCAAATACCTTAGCACAATTGTGCTTTGCTGCTCTGGTTGCAGTTTCTGGGTTACTTAGGGAGAGCTAATTTCTGTCTCAGTGTTTTTCTGCACCTGAAAAGGAAAACTAAAAGCATTGAACACTCCTAGAGCATCAGTGACATCTAGTACTCACCTGCCCAGCTTGCAGATGTGGAGAGCATGCCCTAGGGTGGCATAAAACAACTCAAGTGACATGCAAAGGTTTGTGCTAGACCTTTGCTCAGGGTTGAACTGCTTTGGTTCCTTCCTGTGGGTTAAGCTGCACTGCAGATCCCTCAACAACCTTCTCTGAGGTGCAGGACTCCAAAGCCACAAGTGTTTGGGGCTGTGTGAGCAAGGGGCTGAGCACTCCTGCATTGCTTGGGCAAGGGGGTTTAGGCAGGAGAACTTTGCCCCATGTCTCAGACATCACTTTTGTTCCAGTAGCAGAAGTTTCCCAAGAACGAGATGCGACAGTATTGTCACCAAATGAGCTGCAGAAGAAGACAGACCTGTATCACCTGCAGAAGGTTAGTCCTGCTGAGGCTTTACTGCCTTGTTCCTTAAGTGCAGCCTTTGAGATGTGATTGCTCGTGGGTCATTCTCCATGGGGGGTTCTTCCCAGCTTGCTGGGGATCTGAGCAAACCTTGTGTGGGAGTGTCTCATCT